ATCAGAGGAGCACGGACTTCCTTTCGCACGGGCGTTTGAGCTGCTTAGCAAGCTGCCTCTGTTCTTTGCCGACAGTGACCCCACTGCTTACGTCCCTGAGGCAGGCTAAACAAGGTCGCCTTGGAAAACATAGCAGGGAAGAAGATGCTGGCTTTTCAGCCCCAAGAGTAAATTCTACCATTCTAGAGGTAAAATCACAATATCTAAATTTGACTCCATTTACGTCAGGTCTCATAAATGCATGCACACATGTGGATGCTTAAACCATGGATGCTGACTGCCGAAAACAATACAAAATGACTTACTGTCTCATTAGAAAGACAACAGCTGGTAGGTCAACCCACCAGGAGAAAGGAAAGGAAAATGGGTACTCTAACTTCTACACACACACACACATGCACACATACGCACACACGTACCCATACACACACGTTGGTGTAGTGAACACGCAAGACAGCTAGTTGCCCTGGCAATGAAAAACAATCAATACATTCAAGGATTTTCTTATTTAGAGTTAAACTAGCCACACGAACTCATTGAGCTTTTGTGAGCTCGGCTTTAGGCCTCCGTCCTCAGATGGAGGTCTGGCATCTCTTTTCGCCTCTGGTAAGACAGTAAGCAGAGTCGGCAAGAACAAGGGCTCAGAGCCAGACAGCCCAGGCTGGAATTTCAGCTCTACCATTTTCCAGCTGTGCCACCCAGGTAAGTTACTTAACCATCCTGTGCCTCCATTTCCTCACCTGTAAAACTGTAATAATGTAAGTAAAACTAACTCACAGGGGTTTGCTGTGAAGATTAGATGAAATAATACATGGTAAAGCATTTAGAACAATGCCTGGTTCAGAGTAAGCCCTCGATATATGTGAGTTATTTGTAATAATAACTTGAAATGGGTTCACACATCCCAGTCGGAAACCACTGAGTTCTTTTTTTGTTTGTTTTTCACTTTAATCTTTGTAGGATTTTAATCTCATTTATTCTTCTTGTGTGTACGTGCAGAAGGATGATGTTTAGTCGTGCTTGGAATACAATCTTTCCTTTCATTAAAAACCATTAAGTCTCTTCAAGTGTCTCTTCTGCAGTAAATGATCCAGATTACTCAATTGTTCTGTTTTACATGCTTTTCTCACTTATTGGAACTTCTTAACCATCTCCAGATTTAGTACACACAGAAATATTGTCTAGGAAAACTTGGTTTTGAAATTCCTTATCATCTGCGGTCCATTAACTCAAATGTTTAGAATCTGTTGTTCATAAGAGCAAAGTCAAATTCTTTGCCATATTGGTCAGTTGGTTTTACTCTGTTATTTTGCCATAGTCACCTAATTCTCAAATGCACAGTTCAGCACAAGCCAAACCAGAAGAGACCATAGATCACTCCTTCATTCATTCATTCATCAAATATTTATTGAGGGCCTACTATGTGCCAGGCGCTGCACTGTGCTCTAAGATTACAAATGTGACCCTCCCTACTTGGATGAGCTTACAGCTTGGCAGGGAAGACACAGAAGTAAATAAGCCATTGCAAAAGTCTTCCATTAGGGGCAGGCTCCGTGGCATAGCGGTTAAGTGCGCATGCTCCGCTGCTGACAGCCCGGGTTCGGATCCCGGGCGCTCACCGAGGCACCGCTTGTCAGGCCATGGTGTGGCGGAGTCCCATATAAAGTGGAGGAAGATAGGCATGGAGGTTAGCCCAGGGCCAGTCTTCCTCAGCAAAAAAAAAAAAAAAAAAAGAGGAGGATTGGCATGGATGTTAGCTCAGGGCTGCTCTTCCTCACACACACAAAAAAGTGTTCCATTAGATGCTGTACTTGAAGTGAGAAGGGGCCAGAATACCCTTGGGTTAGAAGGGAGGGGAAATGCAGCTCTATTTGGTGGGTCTGTGAAGGCTACACAGAGAAGGTGACTTCTGAGCCACGTTAAAGGATGGCAAGGAGTGAGGGAAGAGGAGAAGAGTGTTCAAGGAAGAAGAAGCACATACAATTTGCATGTCACATCACCAGGGAGCCTTCCGTGGTGCTGGTACCACTGGGGCCCAGGATCTAGGAAAGATGCAGAGACACAAAGCTGCCCAGGTTGGGTGGGGCCAGGCATGCAGGGACCAGGCCAAGAGGCCTGAGCTCCATCCTGCAGGCGTGGAGAGCCAGGGGACGGCATGATTTACATGCATCACTCTGAGAACAATGAGGAGGGGAGACTGGAGGCATTTGACCCCGGAGTCAGGGAGGAGAAGTAGGACGCCGGGGTCGTGGAGAGAGATTATAAAGCCTGCACTAAGGAGAGGGTGATGGAAAGAAGGGAGTCGATTTAAGGTACATTTAAAACACAGGGTTTAAAGACCCATTAGAGACAGGTGCCAGATTTGGGAAAGAAGGAAGAGAGAAGGTGGAGTCCAGCAGGAACCCCAGGTTTCCAGCATAGGGCATAGTGGGGGCCATCACGCCATATAGTGCCGTAATGGAGCGAACACAAGTAGGCACAAATCCTTTTCCTAAAAATGCTCCTCAAAGACGTGCCCTGTTGAAAGTGGGGAAGGTGAACATCACATGCAAAGAGCAGTAGATGTATCCTTTACTAGTTATCCTTTCCCTTAATACATGTGACATATATGAGCTAAGATAATTTTCATGTAGGAGTCTTAATTTTTTATGTTCTGGAAACTGATTTTCCAAATACAATAAGATATTGGCATTATTTCAGTTACCTATGCCCGACATAGCATACGTCTACTTATCTGTTTACTTATTTATTCTCTCTCTCCCCCCACTAGAAGCCAGGCTCCATGAGGTCAGGGGCTTTGCCTCTTTTGTTCACATCCACGTCCCCAGCACCTAAAACAGTGTTTGACTTGAGATAGATGCTCAGTAAATATTTGTTGAGTAAATGAGTGAATTTCCACATGGGTAAAAGAAACAGTCATATTCTTTACTAATGAGGAAAGAAAAGAAAAAAAAACCTGGACTTAAAACATGAACAGATCCAGTTTGCAAAAACGGAACTGAAGTTTAAAAGCTATTTTTCTTCCTTAAGCTCTACTTCTGGGAAAATCACAGCTGCCAGCTTCGATGGTGGTTTTAACTGCCCAGTTACAAATTCTGCACAGTTGTACATGTTGGCAGAGCTCAGCTTCCTTAAATGCTGTTGGATCAGGAAGGAAGTGGTGATTTTCTTTATTGATTTAATGCCAGTTCCTCTTCTGTGACAAATCCCATGTGCTACTCAATGGAACATGTACAATAAAAACTCAACACGGAGGCCAGTAATTCAGTCAGTCACTCTTGTTCCTCCCTGGTCATGTGATAGTAAACCATCTCTACTTTCAGGCTGGAGCATTCAATCGGTTTCCCCTTTTAACTTAGCAGAGTGATTATTCCTTCTGGTGGATTGCACAAATGCTCCTTTTGATCTGTGAAATAGCTCATTCGTCGATGAACTTTAAGCTCTGAGGTAACGCACGTAAAATACTGTTTATGAATTGTGGGAGAAACATTTCACATTCTCATTACTCCAAAATGGTTGCACCAAACCACTCTCTCCAAGGTTCCTTTTTTCTAAGAAGAGGGAAAAAGAGCTTCAGGCCACAGTACTATGATAACAGTAATAATAATAATCAGACTTCCCATGGCTTTTACTCAATAGTCTCATAGAGGCTACAATGTAGGAAACCCATCATCAGCCAGTATTTACCATGAGCGGGATACTGTGCTAGGTCCATAGACTACAAAGAGGGGTGAGTCTTGGTTCCTATACCCCGGGGCTTACAAAGTAGCTGGGGAGGTAAGACACAAACCACAAAGTGAAATTAACAGTCACTAATGAACCACATGATCAGTAAGTGCTACACAGGATTCAGAAGAGGCCAGGCAGGGGTAACCAGACAGCATTCCTAGAGGAGATGGACTTGAATCTGAGTTGTACCTTTAGTGAGAAGCTGGAGTGAGAAGAGTCAGAGCTGTAGGAACATTCACAGACGCCATTGCTAGAGGGCCCACATGGCTGAGGGGGGGTTGTGGCAGGTAGGGTAGGGGATAGACTGGACATGGTCTTAAATGTCACTCTAAGGACTTTGGCTTGATTCTGTAAGTAAAGTGGAATCATTGGGACTTTTTGAGCAGAAAGGATGTGAGCTAAGCATTGCTTTAGAGAGACTAAATCAGGCAGGGATCTGTGCTATGAATTTAACTGGGGGTCTTGAAGCATTGAGATGATGAGACCCTGACGCAGGCTGGAGACAGTAGGATTTCTCCATCATACAGCACATTCCTGTGAATGCTTCTTAGGGATTTCTGTAAAATTGCACTCAATGTGCCTAGCTGTCTCCCTATCGTAAGATGGTGATACTGCGTTATTGTGTGCTGCTTGAAGTAGCCCCATTCCTTTAGAGCCTCACAACTTGTACACGGAATAGGCCCAGCTGTGGTCTACATGCAAACCTCAGAGAATCTAGGTGACTTACAGTGTAAAGGCTGGGAGGAATCTTGGAGCCCACAAAGTCCACCTCCTCAGCTTACCTGTACGGAAGCCGGCCTTGCTCAGGTTCACATGGCTCGTTAAGGAGGGATTCAGGGTGTGACAGGATCTCCCAACTGCCCTCCAGCAAGGCTTCCAAAGCCCATCCAAATTCTGCTTTGAGGTGTGTGTTTACAAATTCTGTCAGAATCCAAAAGAATTTTGGCCCTAACTGAGATAACTGAAGCTCCTTCCCTTATTCCCCTCTAAGGACCCCCCAGATCCAGTCCCTGTCTGAGCCCCCACTTCATTTCTATCAACTCCTTGCCTCAAGGCTTTCCCACAGCACCCTCCGCCTTCTAGTTCTCTGCTCACATCCTGTTGCTTCTTGTGTTCCGCCATTGATTGTGATGTCCTCTTTGTCTGGAACCCTTTAAGGCCCCAGCTTAGGCCTCACCACCTTCAGGAGCCCCCCCCCCCCCCCCCCCCGTCATGGCTTCAGTCACTCCCCTAGGTGGACTAAAGTCTCCCCCCACCTTGGAGGTCCATGATAGCAGGGTAAGAGTCCATGACATCTTATAATTGCCTATTCATGTGCCTGCCTCCTGTCCTTCAACTGTGAGCTCCCTGAGGGCAGGGACTGTGGGTATGCATCACTGAACACCCAGCATCTAGCCCAGTGTCTGGCACATTGTAGGCATTCCAATGTCTGGTGAATGAATGAATGGCATTTGCCTTCTTGGTGCATTCATTACTTAATACATATTTATTGAGCAATTACTTATGATCAGCACTGTAGTCACACTTAAATGTCAAAATTTACCAATGCATTCAAGCTCCACACTACGCATGCATAAATTATGCATATGGAGTGTTAACATGCGCACGCAGCAGAGATCCCGTATGTATCTACAAATACCAGAGGTAGCAAATGCAGTCAACTGTGTGCCAGATGTCCCCGAAATTTACAAAGAACCAAGAAGAACCAAAACTGACAGTTAGCTCCATGAACGCTATAAAAGAAAAAAGAAAAATGCAAAAGAACAAAAGAACCTCACACAGAAGGAAGTGGCTATGGGTTTTTTCTATGCACTCAAGCCGGGGGTGGGGAAGATTTATAAAAGCATTCTATGCTGGGCAGGTTTGTGTAAGTCTGAGTTCCTCCAGGCTTGCCTCTTAGGAGCTGTTAGGAAAATTCATTGCCATGCACGAATCGGGGGCTTGTTTTTCATTCCGCTGGAAATTGTTCATGGGAATTGCATTAGCGGCCCTTTATCGCTTTGCCTGATAGAGAGACAGCAGGTTCACCCAAGCAATTCTGGAACCCTGATCACTGCCAATTAAGGGAGCATTGTCTGGCTGACATAATCAAGTGAGTATAAATATATTTATCGTGATTGGAATGGGGAAGGGAGACAGCAGAAAGATTGAGGCAGAAGCTGCCGCTCCTTGCCTGGCTCCAGCCTGGATCAAACTCAGTGTCTCTGTCACCTGGTGCTCAGTAAAAGCGGTCACTGGCTTTCTGAGGTGGAATGCACAGTTGAAAATGCAGGACTAGAATTGTTTTTCCCAGAAGGGGCCCTGTCTCTTCTTATTTTTCCTCCTCGCTTCTTCCCTTTTTTTCGCATTCACTTCTGTGAAAGCTGAATAGAGAAGAGAAACCAGATGCCACATTGATCACAGTTTAATTCTGCCCCGTCAGCCGTGCTGCCCCCACTTAACTTATTTGTAGTTCAAAGTGATCGCACAGAATATTGCTGTGACAGGTCTCACTGCCCCGTCTGCCTGCCCTGGTGTGCAAGTCTGTCTGGCACGCAGTTTATTTCATTCTCGACTTGTGGAACTTTGGTGGGAATATCTGTGATGTGTCTCAGAGCTGGAGTTGAAAGATCCTGATAAATAAAGCTCCCTGCAGTGGACGAGATAAGGGAGGAATTTCTCACATTTTAAATAGCTGAAAAAAGAGGTGCGTTTAAGTCACATCTGGTGGTGTTCTTGTTGTCTGGTCAGAAAGCAGGGTCTGTTTAAGCATCTGCACAGATTCCAAAATGCAGGCTGCATTTATTCACCCCCTAAACACATGTTTGGCATTGGTACAAATGGCCGAATCACATTGTTATGGGAGAGGTCCACAACAGAACCAATCTCACGGCTGAATTTCAACTGGTCAACACAGGGCCAGTCCATCAAACATATGACTTCTTTTTCTCACCCTTGATGATTTGATAACAGCATTTATGGAGCTGAGTTTATTTCAGCTATTTTCCTGAGCCCTCCTCATGTCTATGCTGCTCTGTCTCAGCTCTGGAGGGCTGAAGACCTTTACGGATGGCTACATCAGAGTAAGGAACCCTTCCCTGTGTCATGTCTCCTTCAGCCTATAGTTTGTCTTCACAATGGCAAATTGCTCTCAGCCTGTCTTCTTGAAATTGACAAAAACTATTTTATTACTGGTAGATATACAGATATAATACACTACACAGATATAATACAGATATAATACGCTACAATATAGGGGAAGTTGTAGGTACACGAAATAAATAAAGAGCTGGCATCAAAGAAATGTCATTTATAGAGATTACTCAGCCTATAGGCATCTGACCACCCTTATCCAGCCTATTTCTGCTAAATTTTTCCTTCTTCGGCAGCTCAGAAATTGTCAAGGCCAAACTCTTTTCACCTAGCTACCAGAAATATGTATTTCCTCTGCTTTTCAGATCTTAATGGATGAAACACTTCTTTTTTCTGTTTTCTACTTCTTGCCAGATATATTGTTTTTATATCTCCAAGGGAGAAAGAAAGTCATTCCATATTTATCCCTTAACAAATGACCACTTATAGTGAAATACGGAGGAACTCTCTCACTCCCTGTTAATAAATGGGTTATTCGCCCCGGCCAAACCCCAGCTGATGGACAGGCTCTGTTCCCTTCAAGTTGGCTTAATTTTCTCCTGTTGATTTTCGTTTCCTGGAAGTAACGAGATTTCTTGGTTCTTTCTTTGTTTGATTCTGCTTTTGAGGAATGTGCCTGTCTCTTTTGGATCTGTTTGTTTCGTGAGCTGGTTCTATTAAACCCCTACCATTTATTGAGGAGCCATTGTGTTGGGTGCTATGGGTTCCTCTAAAATCCTTCCCACTTGAAACTTGGATGGAGTCACTCATCTGAATGCTAACTCCCTCGTAATCTATCGATTTTCTGCCGTGTAGATGGGGGCATGAAACAGCTATCCACCAAGAGATAGCACAGTGTCATAAACTGAGCTTGAGTTCTGTAGTCAGCGAGACCTGGGTTGTGCGGCAATGCAACCTTGGGCACTTTGCTTCTCTCTCCTGTGTCACACATTCCTCATTATAGACGTTGATGGGAATAACAGGACAGTCTGTTCTTTGCTGTTCTGCATAATAGGATAAAGCCAAACAGACAGTGAAGAGCCTGGGCTAACCACATAACGTTGGTGCAAATTACATATGGCTGTAAGAAAGTATTTTTGACCTGAGCATTTAGGTGGCATTTCGTTTTGTATTCGATGCATGTCGTTTAGTTACAGGGATAAAACTTCTTGAACACACAAACGCTCTTAACCTGGTTGTACATTACATCTTACATCATTTTGATTCTTTTTACTCGGAGTACTTCTTGCTAGGAAGTGGTAAAAGAGAAGATAGAAGTCCAGCGGATAGTATTGTACCACTGTCAGTTTCCTGGCTTTGATACTGTACTATGGTGAGATAAGATATCACCATTGGGGGAAGCAGGATGGAGAATACAAGGAAATTCTCTCTACTATTTTTGCAATTTCCTACAGGTCTATGATTATTTCAAAATAAAAATTTTAATGAGCGAGAGAGAGAGAAAGTGAATGTGGTGACAATAGGAGAAATGAGTGCTCATCTTGGTTTTAGTCCCTGGCTAGACAAATATTTACATTTTGTTTGACTCTTCCTCCCCTTTTTGAGTACAGACTTTTGTGAGCAGTCAGATACCAAAGCTAGGGCTCATTTTTCTATAGAAGAGAAAAAAGAAACAGGATGAGCCAAGAGAACCTCTGCCAACATCAGGTTAGAAGGCCTGCTCCCCGCCTCTCCTCAACCCCTTTCCCTACACAAGCTTACCTTCTGCATCCACACTCACCTGTCTGCCTTCCTTCCCACTCCATGGGAGATGCCTTGCCTGTTGCCACAAATGAACTCCTCCACCTGCACAGGGCATCCCTCCCTTCCAGTGGTTTCCAAAGGCTCTGTCCTTCTACACCATCTCCCCATGTAAGTTCCTTCTACCTGGGGTCTTAACAACCATCTATATGGGAATAGCTCCCAAATTTATATATCTACTCCGACCTTTTTGCTGAGATCTACACCTACATAGCCAACCCCTGAGAATCTCTACCTAGATGCTTCACAAGCATTTCAAACTCCTTCCAAATTATCTTTTCTTCCTCTACTCCCTTATCTCTGAAAATGTTATTGCCGTCTACCATATTGTCCACGGCAGAAAGATGAGAGCCATTCTAGATCCATGCTGCCCAATATGGTAGCCACTAGCCACATTAAGCTACTGGTATTTACTTGGAATATTAATATTAGCTATTAAGTATTTCAAATATGGCTGGTCCAAATTGAGATGAGCTGTAAGTGTAAAATACACAGCAGAACTTAGTTCAGAAAAAAGAATGAAAAATATTTCAATAACATTTTATACTAATTTCATGTTGAAATGATAATATTTGGCATATATTGAGTTTAATAATATAAATTATTAAAAATAATTTCCTTTTATTTTTTAACGTGCTACTAGGATATTTAAAATTACATGTGTGGCTTGCACTATATTTCTATTCTACAGCACTGCTCTAGACTCTTCTCTGCCTTTTAGTCACTCCCAATTTGTCAAAAAGACACAGTGATTCTCTTGAGTCAAGACAGGGACAATATTAGTTAAGTGCACAAGCTGAATTTGAACCCTGGTTCCACCATTTTTGGATACATGTGAACCTGGGCAATTATTTAATCTCTTTGAGCCTCAGTTTCCTCATCCATCAGGTGGATATAATAATAGTTCTTACTCTCAGGTTCTTGCAGGTGTTAAATGAGATGATATGTGTAAAGCACTTGCTATGGAGATAACAGCATGTGCAAAAGCCCAATGTCAAGAGAAAGAGCATGGCCTCTCACTGTCATATTTCAGGCCCTCATCATTTCTGGCCAAGACTGCTGCAATAGTTTCTCCATCTCCAGTTCAGCTTGCCTCCAATCCTTCATACTGCCACCAGGTTAAAGATTTCCTAATGCAAATATCAGCATTTTTAGCGATTCCACATCACCCTTGGGATAAAAATCCAACATCCTTGGCATGCTCTGCAAGGCCGTCCGTGACCTGCCCCCACCCAAATCACCAATCCCATCTCCTGCCTCCACAATGGCCATCATGAGCCAATCAGCCTCCCTAACTGCTATGTGCATGTACCACTCTCTATCTGTGATGTACGTACCCTCTACTTGTCCACAAGACTCAGTTTATTTGTCACCTCATTTGGGAAGCCTCCCCTGGTCCCTACTGCACCTGTCCCCATCCCAGGCTGGATTAGGAACCATCCCTTTGGGCTCCTCAACCACTTGAGGTCTGGTTCCATTATCACACTGCTCTCACTTGTTTGGTCGACTTGTCTGTCTTTCCCACAAGACTGCTGAGGCCTAGGATGGGCTCTCTAGTCTACTCTGGATCTCCACGCTGAGCACAGTGCCTGGCACAAAGTGGGACCCAGTAAATCTTTGTTGAGCAAATGCATAAAGCATAGGAGTTACTCCTGAGAGACATAAGGAGAGTGAGAGCCCAGTGAGACCAAGCAGCAGAAAATCTGAAGACTAGCCCTAGGAGCAATCGCTGCTTCTTGGCCATGCAGACAGCGTCAGGGGGGAGAGAAAAGAATCAGGGCAAGGAGTCAGCAATGGAGGATTTGAAATGAAAGAGCGGAGAAAAGAGAAGATCGTGAAAAGAATAGAACCACATTTGGTAGTCTTGGTGGTTTAGTAACTTCCTCTGCAGTGGTTCCAGGAAGAGACCAGGCTCTAGGAAGGCACAAATCACATAAAGAAAGGATGAGGTATCAGCAACCGATTCAAGGATTATTTGTCATCAGGACTAGATACGTGGGTGATACAAGTAAATGTCAACCTGGAGACTACGTGATGGGACTACTAATAAGTTACTGGGGCCGGTGCCCAGGAATTTTTTACTGCGGTGCAAGTGCCAAGCATGGAAAGATTTGACAAGTTGTAGATATGAGAAAGCAGATAGTGAATTTGAGAATAACGATGTGAAATGCCAGAATAATCACAAGAGAAATATCTGAATATGCAAGAGGTCTTAGAGGA